AAAGACAATGAAGTGGGCCACACTGACAAACTCTTCCTTTCCTAAGATTTCTCTGTAGCATGTGATGCTATTAAACAGTATTTTACTTGCAGCAGAACATTTTTTCAAAATTTCAATCCTCTCAAAATTCTGCTTCTGCTTTTTGTCAACTAAGATTATATAACACTCTAAATCCTTCATTTTCACTTCGGCAATGTCCACAGAAACTTCGCCAATAGTAGATTACAGCTCAAGAAACCACTTCACTTGCCCTTCCATGAGGAGCACTTCCTCATCCATGAGAATTTTATCATGAAAGATCCACTCGGAACTCCCATTCCCTTGCTGTAGCCACCACGCCTGCAGCTGTTTCCTCCACTGAAGTCTTCATCTACTCAAAGTCATCGTGAAGTTTGGAAACAACTTCTTCCAATTCCTGTTAATGTTAATATTTTGAATGACTTCCATGAGTCAGGAATGTTCTCAATGGCATTTTGAAAAATGAATCATTTCCAGGAGGTTTCTCTACGCACTTTGCCCAGATACATCAGAGGAATTGGTTTATGGCCTCTTACAGCCTTATGAAATGCATTTCTGCAATAATATTTAGAGTTGAAATTACACCTTGGCCCAGAGGCTGCAGAATGGATATGAAAACAATATTAATCTTAAACATCTCCTTCAGAGCTCTTGGATGACCAGGTGCATAGTCAGTGGACAATAATATTTGAAAAGAATCTTTTTTCATCTTTCAAAAGAGAAGTTCAGGGACTGGGGAGGTGGCTCAGTGGAATAAGTCCTTGCCTGGCAAGTGCAAGGGCCTGAGTTCAATCCCTAGTTCAGCAAAAAAAAAAAAAAAAAAAAAGTGGGAAAGCCTGTGGCACGAACAGTGAAGGACTCCCACTCTGGCCGGAATCCTGGTAATACTGATTGGAAAACTGAACTAAAAAATAAATTTTAAAAAAAAGACAGAAGTTCAAATATTCTGTAAACCATGTTGTAAATACATGAGTTTTCATCAACACTTTGTAATTCCATTTGTAGAGCAAAAGCAAAGTAGATTTAGTATAATTTTTGTCTATCAAAACATAACATCAAAAACACAACATAAAAATAGTGCCAAGAAAAATCACAAAATGGATGAAGATATTAAATTTAACATATCATAAAAAGGATTAGACTCCAGAATAAAGACATTTTTCAAATTTTTTTTTTCAAGGCAGGGTCTCACTATGTAGCCGAGGCTGGCCTCAGACTCAGATCCTCCTGCCTCAGCCTTCTGAGCACTAGGCTTACAGATATGCACCACCACGCCTGGCTTCAATGTTTTATAGGAAAAATACAAGCAATCTATAATGAAAAAGTAGAGGATAATAGGCATTTTACACAGGAGGAAACAATGAGTGTTAGATAATTAGCTTATTTGTTAGAAAATTAAAATATCAAGGAATAAGAAGACTAAGGGGCCAGGGAGATGGCTCAGTAGAATAAGCTCTTCCCTGGCAAGCACAAGGGCCTGAGTTCAATCCCTGGTTCTGCCAAAAAAAAAAAAAAAAAAAAAAAAAGAATAAGAAGACTGAAAAAAATAACTTCAAAGGATATCTTTTAATAAAAATCTCTCATCCAAAAAATTGTTAAAAATTCAACAATAGAAAAATAAATAACGGCTAAAACATGAGCAGAAGAAATGAACAGACCAACGAAGATGTGAAGATGGGAAATAAGGGACATGGAGCTCTCATACACTGCTGGTGGGACTGCAGACTGATATAGCTTCCTTGGAAGGTAGCTCAGCAATTTCTTATAGTACTGCATACAAGTGCAGTATAATGCAGCAATTATGCTTTTTGGTATTTACTCAAATGAGTTGAAGACTTATGTCAACACAAAAATTACACAGGTGTTTTTGGCAGCATTATTCATAATTGTCCAAACTCTGAAGTAACCAAGATGCCTTTCCACAAGTGATGGATACATTGTAACATATCTATGCAATGGGATATTAGTCAGTGCTAAAAAGAAATGAGTTATCAAGTCATGGAGGAAGGTAATGACATGTACATTGCCAAGTGAAAGATACTAATCTGAAAGGCTATACACGCTATTATTCCAACTATATGACATTTCAGAAAGGGAAAAACTAGGCAAATAGTAAACAATCAGAGATTAAAGGGGGGAGAAATGAGGTGTAGTAAGACAAGATTTTCAGGGCAATAAAACTATTCTGAATGATACCATCATGGGGAATGCAGGTTGTTACACCCTTCTGAAACCCACTGAATACAACATGAAGAGTGAATCATAAACCGAAGTGTAGATTTGGGGTTAGCATGTGTCTGTGAGGGCTCAGTAGTTGTAACAAGCATGAGACTCTGATGCAGGTTGCTAGTAAGGCAAGAGGCTGTGCGTGTATGAGATCAAGAGATTCGTGAGACTTCTGCTCAGCTTGAGACTGGCCTGTGCAGCATTGTAAGTCTCTGTTTCAACAAACAAACTACAAAAAGCAAAGTGATATGTATTTTTAAAAATTCTAAAATAAAAAACCATGGTATATAGTAAATAGATACTATTATGCATCCAGTAGATTATAAAAATATATAAATTTTAAGATAGCAATATTTGTTGAAGACAGGGTATAATTTATGCACTAGCATGTGTGTGTTGATAAAGCTACTTTGGAAAAACAATTTGGAATCATTTAATTTCCAAATTTCCTAACCTTGAACATGCACATAGTCCATGGCTCAGCAATTCCCACTGTTGAACATATTTTCTATAGAAGAATCCTTAGGAAATAATTTTAAATATCTTATACTGTATACATGCCACATAAAACTTGATATATTCACACAGTAGAATGCTAAATGGTAAAAACAATGATCTGTGACTGTGTACCAGCGGGAACGGTCAACTTAGAAATATAGTACTATATTAAAAAGATCATATTTGGATTTCAAAAAGTATAAAACTTGATAACATATTGTTTAGGAATCTATAAAATTATTGTAAAGCTATAAAGAAAGTGAGGAAACGGTTAATGGTGCTTACAAGATATTAGTCCCCCTAGTGGAAGGTGGGGATTGGAATATGAGAGATGGGAGACTCAGAACATCACAAAGAATCTGGTAATACTGTTTCTTATCCCGGGTTATATGTATAGAAATTCCACTTATATGCCTATAGTTCAAGCTACTTACGAAGCTGAGGTAGGAGGATTGCTTGAGCCCAAGACTTTGAAGATAACCTGGGCAACACGCAGAGTCATTCTCTGTCTCTGTCTCTCTGTCTCTGTCTCTGTCTCTCTGTCTCTCTCTCTGTCTCTCACTCACTCACTGTCTCTCTTCACTAATTCTTTAAACAGTGTGTGCATTCTTCTGTATTTGTGTCATATTTTCCAGTGAAGGCTTTTTTAAAAACAGAAACTGAGCTGGGTGTGGTGGCATACACCTGTAATCCCAGCACTTGGAGACTGAGGCATCAGGAGGGTCATTGCAAGCTCAAGACCATCCTGAGCTACAAAGTGAGCTCAAGGCCAGATTGAACTGCATAGTGAGGCCCTGTCTCTAAAAGATTAATGAATAAATACTGAAATTCTAGCACTTTATTATATTAATCCATATTCTTGTTCATCTTCCTGCCATACAGAAAAGGTCTACGTAGAGGTGAAGAGAAAGAGTACAATAAAGTGGCAGAAACTGACACAAAGGCAAAGGGACAATATGAAAATGTCCTTTTGTGCCAAAACTGGCTGTGGCTGAGGTCAGAATTGTCTTACTCTTTTCACATAATTTATTTTTTCTTATTACAGTTTAAATGGGGTTCCTGTCACTGGCTATCAAGAAGCCTGAATAAAATTTTTTAAAAAGATGGAACTCTTGTCATTTGTGACAACACGAAAGACACAGTGCAACAAGCTGGGCAGAGAAAAATAAATTTCTCCTGATCACTCCGTGTGGTATCTAAAAATGTTGCACTTACAGCAACAAGAGAGTGGTGGTTTCCAGGACTGAGGAGGCGGGGAGATTCCAGGATGCAGGTCCAAGGGGAAAAACTTAATTAGAAAGAGACATAAGCTCAAAAAATATATTTTACATAATGAACATCATTAACAATGTATTGAATTTTTGAAAACTGCTGAAAATAAAATTTTGGGGTTTTTTTGAGACAAGTTCTCACTATATAGTCCAGGCTGGACTTCAATACACTTATGTAGCCCTGGCTTGCCTCAAACTCACAGCAATCCTGCTGTCTCAGCCTCCTGACATATGCGCAGTGAAAGATTTTAAGCGTCCTCACTACAAAATATGACAAGTATGTGAAATAATGTGTTAATTAGCTCAGTTAACTTGAGTTTAATAGTCAAGACAGTGAAACTCTGACATTCTATTTGTAAAACAAGGCAGAGACTGCTACAGTTTAATGCTATGATGTACCTAAGCAAAACAAATACATTAGCTGCCTCTGCCTTGTTTTACTTCACCCATATAATACTATTTTGATACATATAATAGTCTGCCTTTCTTATGTGAACTACACTCGCCATATCTTACTATCTCCACTAGTGGGACTCAGAGGTCAGAATAAAATAAAAGATTAGATCTTTGCCAAGCCAAATTAACTTCAATTACTTGTTTTGATTAGATAGTCTGGTTATCTGAATACTGTACCTCTCATCTCCAATTTTTTTCCTTCTGATAGACCAAATAATTTTGCTTTCATTGTTTAATATGTATTATCTTCTTCCCAATATGGAGAATATAGGTTTATGGCTAGAGATATGGAAAAGTGAGTGTAGATGGAGTATATTTTCATTTAATTTTTCAGGTTTCCTAGATAGTATAAACTCTTAACTAGTTTGGATAATTTAAACTTGACTCCATGATATTGTCCCTCAAATTTAAAAAAAAAAACAAAAACACCACCAACAACAGTGGCTGTCCCATCCCTCAAATTTAAAAACTGATTATAATGACATAGTATAAAAACTTTTTTAAAAAGCTGCTATAAAAGGTATACTTTACCTGTAATTGGAATCTTGCAGTATGAAAACTTCGAGAAATGAATACACTCTCAGGATGGGGTTTAATTTTTGCCTTTGGTGGTCTTTGCCTAAATCTCTCATTGGTTGCTTTAAAGGTAGAATTTTGAAACACTTTTCTGAAAAATATTTTATAGAAACTATTATAAACATGAATTAAATGGAAAGCCAAGTAAAATCATTTCTCTAATAGTTAAACATGAAGGTTTAAAAGTCAGAACAATATTAAACAGTATATTTATTTTTAAAAGCATAAATCTATTATTATTATTATTATTATTATTAGTGTGTGTGTGTGTGTGTGTGTGTGTGTGTGTGAACAGGGATTGAACTCAGGCCCTTGCACTTGCCAGGGAAGCACTTATTCCACTGAGTCATCTCCCCGGCCCCTAAAAAGCATATGTCTATATACTTTCTCATATGTTAGATTTTTTTACATCTGTTTTATTCATAGAATGTAAAATAAGCTACTCAATATTTCCAGTTTGATTTTGTTTTAGTTTTTTGAGACAGGGTCTCCATATGTAGCCCAGGCCTTGAACTCACAGCAATCCTCCTGCCTCAGCCCTCCTGAATGCTGGGATCACAGGTGTGCGACATCATGCCTGGCACTCCAGTTTGAATATTAACAAGAAGTCATTGAACACATATATAAAAGATCTATACAAGAATATTAATGATGGCCATTTTCCTAAGAACTAAAAACTGGAAATGACCTCAATGTCCATTTTAAGAATAATTGATAAGCTAGGATATACTCATTTACATAGTGGAATACTACTCACCAGTAAAAAATGGACCATGGTTAAATACAACATAAATTTTGTATTTAAATATTATGATTGTTAAAATTTGATTATTATAATAATCAAAAATATTATATTGAGTGAAAAAGGCAGACATTAAAAAATCCATGTAAGTCAAGAGCAGGTAGATTTAATCTGTGGTGGTTATAACTAGAATAATGGGAACTTCCCAGGATGATATAACTTGACTCGGGTGATTATTACTTAAGTACATATTTGCTGAAATTCATTATAGTATATTTAAAATCTACATACTCTATTATATGCTAATTATACCTGTTTAAAGGTGTGTAATTAATATATAAATCAACTATAAGGAGCAATATAATCTTTAAAATGGTATACTATTCTACCTCAATAGGCTAAGTTTAAATGAGATAACATACAAAGCACATAGAACAGTCCTTAGTATGTAGTGAGTATTCTATGTCAGCTAGTATCATGATGATGTCATTCTTTTTAAAACCTTTCAAGAGTGTAAATGGGAAAATCCACACTGTAGTTAGCTTATGACTCCCTGTTTCATATAGCTCTTAGCTACCTCTTCCACGCTCACCACAAATGATTCAATCTGGCCTTTCTGTTGAATGTATAAGGCCAAGATGTCTCACATGCTGGGGTCTTTGTGCCTGTTACATCTTTTGGTTTAGAACACATACAGGTGTTCATGTATGAAGCTCTTTCTTTAGATTCAGGTCACTAATAAAATACAAACTACATGTATATATAGGCATTCCCTAACCACTCTGCATATTTGTTCATTATTAGGCTACACTCTACGAAACAGGAACTTTATCTGACTTGCTCATAATAATTGCTTCAGTTTGTAAAACAGTGGCAGATGTTCAGTAGATGTTGTTGGAGAATGAATAAGTGAATAATTTGTTGGTCTTAATTTGTATGTGTGGATGGAGATGTACTTATTTACTAGGTAAAATGAGGAACACTAAGGAAGATTATATTACAGTTCATAATTTCTAAACATCAGGCAATGGGAGGGCCAGCCAGATAGCTCAGCAGACTAAAGAGCCTGCTTAGGCAGATGCAGGGACTGGGGGTTCAATCCCAGGCATGCTGTGCTGGCCCCACCCCCAGGGCACACTGAGACAGCAATTGAGACTGGGCATGGTGGAGCGTCCCTGTAATCCTACCATGTGGGAGGCTGAGAACAGGAGGATCATTACGAGTTTCATCTGTGTAGTGAGACCCTGTAGACCCTGTACTAAATAAATAAATAAACAAATAAACAAAAAACATCAGACAATGGAAATACTACACTAAGAATCAGGAACACCAAATTTTAGAATTGAAAAGAACTAAGTTATCAGGTTTGTTGTTGTTTTCTGTTTTTGGTAAGAGACTACTTTTGGACGATAGAGGAGAATTCTGTAAATTCTCATTTTGGTTGTTGAGACAGGGTCTTGCTATGTACTTCAGGATATGCTTGAACTCACTATGTAGCTCAGGTTGGCCTTGAACTCAGTGATTCTCCAGTCTCAGCTTCCCAAGTGCTGGGATTACTGGCATGCACCACCATGCCTGGCCTAGTTCTCTTCCTAAACATCTTCTAAAGAGGTGTCTTCCCTTCTTAGTAATGCTTTTAATCACTAAATTGTAAGTTGAATTTTAAAAATGTGTATTTATATTTCAATTTATATTAGGCTCATGTTGCAGCAGAAAATGCCACCTCCCAGCCCCTATACTTTAGTTTGTTCATTGCCCAGGTAATAGTTCCTCTTCCAGTTCCACTTGCTCCTGTCTCTTAGAAATGGCTGGTCATTATGATGCATGCTGTATAAACCAATGCCCAATTCACCAGCCATTCTGCTCTGTACTTCCTGCTTGCTTATCCTATGCAAGCCCTAGGCCACCAGAGATCAGAACCTGGTATTCCTGGAATGATCCCAATCAGTGCCCATTGATATAAATAAATCTGCCTCCACATCCTGGGTGTTGTTTCAGTGTTTCTGCTAACCATTGTATCTGGTGCATCAGCCAGGAAGACTGATTATGCTCACTTCTTTGGTCACTGGTCATGGCCCTCATAGATGGAGGAAGGACACCTCCAGCTCCCAATGAGAAGGTGCACCCTTGAGATTTCTCAAGTTCCCTCCCAGATCTGGAGGAGGATTTTTAGCTCCCTGCTAGTGGCTGACATTGGACCTAAAATGAAGGAGGATGCAGTCTGCCTGTCTGCCTGCTTATCTACCTTATTCTGGTTAGACTTCCAGGGGCACCCCAGTTAGTCTGTTTAGTCCTACTCTGTTTGAGCAGAAGGGGAGTCTGATCAACTCTCATTAGTCTGGACCACCTTCAAGGGAAAGGGGGCTGAAATGTTTCACCTCTGAGTGCCTGCTGAATGAATGCATGAGTGGAATGGTCAGTGTAAGCAACAGACTGCTCTGTCTGTGCACCAAGGCTGGGAAGCACCGGTCACAGTGGCTGCATGGGCTGTCACCTGTGGTTCTGTGTTGATCGACATATAACAGATTCCTCACACCCTCCTTAGCTAAGTTGAACCAAAGTCCCCTTGACTTAGGGGGACTGGCCAGGCAGGCAATTCAATGGTCTCTTTCTCTGAGGGACACACGCCCTTTTGTCTATGGCACCATTATTCTAGTGTACAGAACACATACAGAGGAAGTCAGAAATGGGAATTAATTAGTCAAAACCCACAGTCCCTGACTGCAGGAAAAAGGGCTTTCAGGGACTTAAAAATGAAACCAAACTGCTCCTTGCATCTAAAAAAGAGAGAGAGAGAGAGAGAGAGAGAGAGAGAGAGAGAGAGAGAGAGAGAGAGAGAAAGAGGCCTATTCTTCTTGAGAATTCCACCTTGGCATGCTTGTCAGCTGCTGCAGTTGTTCCCAACACCTATAGCTTCACTCCTCGTTCCCAATTTGTCTACATCCAGCCAACTGAAATGGTTCCAGCTAGTTGTTGCCTGCATTCGGCCACACTGGCCCTCCCTCTGGTACCTTCTACTTCATGGCTATGCCTACCTTGGTCGTATGGCATCAGGTAAGGTCTACCTGAGATGACTGTCAGCATTTCTTCTGAGTTCCACATTTTGACTGAGAAAAAATTGGGCTCTCAGCCCTGAAAAATGAGTTACCATGGTCTTTCCAAAAGTTCACTCTGCCTAAAAACCTAAAATCAGCAGAGTGCCTCTCAAAGATATCAAAAAGGGAGGCAAAAAGCCTATCAACCATTGTTACCTTTTAAAAAGGCACCTGATGTAAGAAAGTCTACTTCAATAGACAACTATATCCTCTAGCTATGAATTACAAAGACTATGGACACACACACACACACACACACACACACACACACACACACAGCCCATTCAGATTAAAAGATAAGAAGAGTAAAAGCTTCAGCCTAGATCAGATGATAGCACTTTCATCAGTCTGACAGGCTCTGACTAGGCCAGACCAGGCTCTCTTCCTCAGTTGGGCCACCAAGAACCCTTAGTACCATCACTGGGGCACTAAGACTCTTGCCTCTTATCCCTTTGGCCAGGCACAAACTTGCAGCATAGGAAGAAATCTCCTGGGTAAGCCAGTCCTCCTACCACTTCTGGGAAGAGGCTTCCTCTTCATCTGAGAAGTAACCACCTCCTTTTCACCAAGCCAGTCAGCCCCTTCTCATTTAACCTTGCACTTTCAACTATGACTGTTCCTGAGAGAAAAATGAAACCTGCACCAGCCTGAGTCAGATAACCACAATCCTGAAATTTTGAAAATTCTCCTCCTAGAGATATGAACTAAGGAATCAGGGCTGGCGAGATAGCTCAGCAGACTAAGCACCTGCTTAGGCAAGCTCAGTGACCAGGGTCAATCCCTGGTACCACATACTGTGCTGGCCCCATTTCCAGGCACATTGAGCTGGCGGGTGTGGGGGCACATGCCTGTAAACCCAGCACTGGGGAAGCTGAAAACAGGAGGATCACTATGAGTCCAAGCTGCATAGTGAGACCTTGTACTAAATACAGTTTTAATTTTTTTTAAGTACTAAGGAATCACCTCCAGGCATGACCATCAACCATTCTAGCTCACTATGACCACAGCTGAAGCCTGAGGACATAGTTCACAGGATTGCTCCATACCTATTCCCTGTGATTTTTGTGTCATTTCAGTCTGCTTATCCCAGTTCTTGCTTCTCTACCCCCTGCTAGCTGCACTGGTTTTTATTTTTTGCCTTAAACTCTACGGACAGCTGCCTCGAGAGAGGAAAATAATCAGTGAAACACTTGACCAAGATTTGATGTGTCCAAGAAACACTGAACCCTCTTCTAGGTCAGATTAAGTCCTTCATTCCCTTGTCAAAGTCTACTTAGGAGGAAACTCTTTAATATGGGAAGTAAACCACAAACTCCTAGGGGAAAAACTTTCTGTCTTAGGGACTTTGACTAGGGTCCATCCTAAGATCACTGACAACCCTAATGTTACTGCTTCTAGTTAGTCCTTGTCTCAGAAGATCACATGTAACACGCCCAGCAGGGATTTGTTTGGGAAACTAGAGGAGGGGTAAACATAGCAGGAAATGCCCCCCTCCAGCCAATATAATTTATCTTGTTAGTCGCCCAGGTAATAGTTCCTCCTCCAGTTCTGCTCCTGTCTTTTAGAAACAGCTGGTGACTGTGATGTACACTGTATAAACCAATCCCCAGTTGACAAGCCATTCTCCTCCGTACTTCCTGCTTGCTCATCCCATGTAGGCCCTAGACATTAGAGATCAGGGCTTGATATTCTGGGAATGATCTGGATCAGTGCTTATTGATGTAAATAAATCTGCCTCCAAATCCTGGGTGTTGTTTCAGTGCTCCTGCTTGCCATTGCAATGTCTTCTAGAAAATAAAATGAAACTTGATATTCCTCAAACTTTTAATGCACAAAACTGCTATTATATTACTCTTTTTTCAGTTTATTTAAAATATAAAACTTCCCTCTTCAACAAAAGGGTCTACAACCAAATCCCACATTATGGATTCAATATTATAATAGTTAATTAATTTTAATTTTTTTAATTTTGGGTTTTTTTTTTTTTTTTTTGAGACTCCTTCTTGCTATATAGTTTAGGCTGGCTCTGACCTTACTATGTAGCCCAGGCTGGCCTTGAACTTGTGGATAACCTCCTGCCTCAGTCTCCCAAATGTTGAGATTATAAGCATATACCACTATGTCTAAGTTTAATATTATTTGAAAGAGCTGTTCTTTGAATTTTTAAGAGAAAAAGTTCAATATCTTAATAAATCTTACCTTCGCTTACAAATCAGGTACCACAAAGCTGACGCCAATGCAAAGAAACCAATTACCAAGCTAACAGCACAAGCAGCCAGAAAATAAATTAAGTAGTTAAGCAATCCTACAAAAAATAATAAAAGATTATTTGATAGAAGTATCTTCAGTCTCTAGATTAATTAAATTATAGAATGTTTTAAATTATACAACAGTGTAGTGTTGAGGCTGACCAGGAGATTGAACTGGACTTGAATTCTAGTCCCCTATAATTCTGCTGAATTGAAGCACCACATGTTAGACAATGATGGAGGCGTCTTGCAGATTAGCTTCCATAGCACATTTCTTTGACTCTTCCATGATTTGAAACCTAGATGTTTTGCTACACATACATCCCACCTCCTCCTTTTGTTGTCAGGGTTTTTTTTCCCTCCCAGTCCAGCTATGAATACTACTTCTCCAGTGCAAGAGACACTTACAGTCAGATTGGTCAACTCTTCATTAAGATTCTAAAACCTGTGACCATTGCAGAAAGCAACTATAGAATGCTTTCATAGAAGACTATATAGAACCAGAATGGCCTTAAGACAACCAAGGAATACACTATTTGGGGAAAGGGGTTAAATGGTATAAAACTATTTGAAGGTCTTTTTTTTTTTTTTAATGTATTTGGTACACGGTCTCACTATACAACTTAGACTCATAGTGATCCTCCTGTTTTCAGCCTCCCAAGTGCTGGGATTACAGTTGCACACTACACACCTGGTCTTAGTGGCTGGCTCAGTGTACTTTGGAGCAGGACTGTTGCAGCATGTGGTGCCAGGGATTGAACCCTGGTCCCTGTGCTTGCCTAAGTAGGTGCTTAGTCTGCTGAGCTATCTCACCGGCCCTTTGAAGGCATTTTGATGGGAACATATTGCCAACTACTGAGAAACATGATAAAGATTCTGTTTTCATACTTTGCTTCTCAAGTAATTTCTAGTATTAAGAGAGCACCTCTCTAAGCTTAGTTTTGAAATAATACTTTTATGTAATCAAAGATAATAAAAAGTATTAAAACACACATAACTTATGTTATTGGTTGTCTCTAGGGAGAATCGAGAGGAGTGGAATTATGGATGGAATAGACACTTATGACATTGTAAGCCTTCATTTCTTTAAAAAAAATTAAAGCTCTTTCAGGGCATGGTGGAACATGTCTGTAACTCCAGGTACTAGGAAAGTGAAAGCAGAAAAATTGTAAGTTTGAGGCCAGCCTGAAAAATTTGGTGAGACTTTCTCTCAAAAAAAGAGGGGACTGAGGGTGCCAGTGATGAGTACTTGTCTAGCATGTGTGAGGCCCTGGGGTAGATCCATAATACTCCAAAAGCAAAGATACAGGACTGGGGAAATAGCTCAGTGGCGTAAGCGCCTGCCTGGCAAGTATAAGGTCCTGGGCTCAATTCCCAGTTAAAAAAAAAGTTACAACTGTGAAGATCTGTTGGCCAAAAGACTGTTCATTTAGGAGAACATTATAGGTGGGTGTTTGTGTTTGTCCTTTTACTCTTGTGATTTTCTCAAATATTTTTAAAAATACAAAAATAATAGCTCAATATTATAAAATATAAGATAAGAAAAAACATTTTTGTAAGGAAAATAACACTGGCTATTTCTGGGGTATAAATTTAGGATTAAAAAATTTATGACTATCTTAGAAAAATCAGAAAAAAAAGACACTTCATATGAAATTTTTGATTCTTTTATTTAAATGGTATAAATCTCTTTGTAGTACCTCTATTTTTATCAATGTGTTTATACCCCACTTTATAATATCACCCCGATTTTCCTTAATAGTCAATATCACAGTCTTCCTACATTGGTTTTCTATCTGTTGTCTGTCATTCTTTATTATAGAATGAGTTTTTCCATTATGGTGTTTTCAGAACTTAGAGCACTGACTGGAGCTTTACCACATTTGAGTCTCAGGTTTTTGTTGTTTGTAAATCATTTACTCCACTTCAACTAATATCTGTTGAACACCAATAAGTGAGAAATACCATGTGGAGCAGCAAAGGGTTGGGAAAAACAATAGCCATTAAAGTAAGAATTAGTCCTTGTCCTGAGGTTTAAACATTTATGAAGAAATAAAAGCATGGGGCTGGAGAGATGGCTCAGTGGTCTAAAGCACCTACTTGAAACAAGCTTAGCAAAGCACAGGGACCGCGGTTCGATCCCCCAGCACCACATGCCAG